TCTAGAGACTTTGTTTTTCTTTTTTTGTTTGGTGATTTACTGACCCTGGCAGACTACTGATAAATACAGAGTAGAGGGGAAGAAGCCAAGAGGGCCAACGGCATCCTGGCCTGCATTAGAAATAGTGTGGCCAGCAGGAGCAGGAAGGTAATTGTCCCCCTGTACTCCGCACTGGTGAGGCTGCACCTTGAGTATTGTGTTCAGTTTTGGGCCCCTCACTACAAGAAAGACATTGAGGCCCTGGAACGTGTCCAGAGAAGGGCAATGAAACTGGTGAGGGGTCTGGAGCACAAGTCTTATGAGGAGCGGCTGAGGGAGCTGGGATTGTTCAGTCTGGAGAAGAGGAGGCTCAGGGGAGACCTCACTGCACTGTACAACTTCCTGAAGGGAGGTTGTGATGAAAAGGGTCTGGCCTCTTCTCTCAGGCAAATAGTAGGACCCAAGGAAATGGCCAGAAGTTGTACCAGAGGAGGTTTAGGCTGAACATTAGGAGAAATTTCTTCTCTCAGAAGGTGGTCAGGCACTGGAATGGCTGCCCAGGGAGGTGGTGGAGTCGCCAACCCTGGCAGTGTTCAAGAGGCGCCTGGATGAGGAGCTACGAGAGATGGTTTAGTGCTTGTGGTACTGGGAATGGGAGGGTGGTTGGACTAGATGATCTTGCAGGTCATTTCCACCTTGCGATTCTGATTCTATGATTCTATAATCACCTCCCTCAACCTGCTGGCAGTGCGCTTTTTAATGTACCCCAGTACACCATTGCTCCTTTTGCATGTGAAGGAACATTGCTGGCTCATGACCAACTTGCTGTCTCCCTCAACACCCAGATCCCTCTCTGCAGAGCTCCTCTTCAGCATGTCAGTCCCTAACCTGTATCGATGCATATGGCTATTCCTCCCAATTCCTATTTGTTGAACCTCATCTGGTTCCTCTCCGCCCAGCTCTCTGGCCTCTCCAGGTCTTGCTGAATGGCAGCCTGCTGGTGTATCAGCTTTGCATCACCAAAGCAGACAGCGGATGCTATGCCTTCATCCAGGTCATAAATGAAGATGTTGAACAAGACCAGATCCAGTGCTGATCTTGGGGAACACTGCTTGCTACAGGCCTCCAACTAGACACTGCACTGCTGATCACAACCCTCTGAGCTCTCCAAGCCAGTTGGCTCTCAATTCACCTCAGTGTTTGCTCATCTATCCCACACTTCCTAAGCTCACCTATGAGGATGTTATGGGATACAGTACCAAAAGTCTTACTGAAGTCAAGGTACACTGCATTCACTGCTCTCCCCTCAGGTACCCAGCCTGTCATGTACCCTTGTACCATGTACCCCGTCATGACATCCTAAAGGGCTACCAAATGGGTCAAGCATGATTTCCCTGTGGTGAATCCCTGCTGACCACTTCTGACAATCTTCTTGCTTGGAGATGACATCCAGAATAAGCTATTCTATCAGCTTTCCATGCATGGAGGTGAGGCTGACTGGCCTGCAGTTTTCCAGCTCCTCCTTCTTGTCCTTTTTGAAGACTGCAGTGACAGTGGTATTCTTCCAGTCCTTAGGCATCTCTCTGTTCTCCACGACCTTTCAAAGATGATAGAGAGCAGTTCTGTCAGCTCTCTCAGCACTCGTGGGTGGATCCCATCAAAATACATGGATCTGTGTGTGTTGAGTTTACCCAGTTGATCTCTGGCCAGATCCTCTTGACAAAGGGAAACTGTTCCTTTCCCCAGCTTTTTACCTCTGGGGTCTGGGATTCCTGAGGGGCAATCTTAGCAATGAAGCAAAGAAAGCATTCAGTAACTCCACATTATCAGTGTCCTTTGGTAACAATAGTGGAGATATTTTACTCTAATGTTCATTTTGAAAGCTTATGAAAAATCATATTACTTTGATGCGTTTTTTACATTTTATTTTTGGGGATAATATGTACATACATATACAAAATCCAGCATGTACCTATGTGGATCTGTACTGAACTAGTTTATATCCAATTTTTGTGATAGCATTCTCATTTTTAATTTGAAGTTCTTTTTCTTGACTGTATCAATTTTGCGGCATATATTAGATGGGGAGCTAATGCTACTGTGTTGACCAGTGAAAAGATGCAGTCTGGGAATATTTGGAACAACAACAAAAATCACACTTGTTTCATAAAGAAAAAGAAAACAAATAGAAAATAGAGAGAAGGTATGAATAAAAACGAAACCAGTTAGCAGTATTTGAAGTTGAATCCAGATTCAAGACTGATTGATCTTGCTTTCTTAAGTTACAATGTAATGACTGCTGTGATTTAACTTATAAAATACATACTTTGCAATGGCCAACCAAGAAATATTCTTAATGTGCATAATAATGATATATATATATATTGTTTTATACCACTTATTCTAACTTTTCAATCTTTTTTTCTCCTCCATAAATAGATTCTGAATATGTAAGGTCCTGGGTATCATCTGTGGCATGTGTCTGCCCCAAGTTCCATATAAAATCAGTGATCGTTCTCAACAACATAATAAGTTGGGCATTAGGCTTCAGTCTGGCCAATTCTTTGGTAGCATCTGGAATATAATAATGTGAGTAGCCATATCAATTGACAGAATAATGCCCCATTTTCTGTTTATTCAAAACTGCATTTGGCTGAATGATGACGAAAAGAAGCATCACTTATTCCAACGTTGCTTGGTAAATGGTACCAATTCATATTTACGGTTAAAAAGGGTGATCTAAAATTCATTGACAAATTCTATGAGAATGTTCCCAGTGAAGCAGTTCCAGCTCCAGTCATTTCAATTTTAGCCAATTCAACTTATTAACTTGAATATCCCAGCATCTTTTCATGAGTATCTCAGTTAACCCAGTGTACATAAAACCTTCATTTGAGATTAAGAATACCAGACACTGTATTATCTTGAGGTAGAAAAACTGTTCTGAAAAACAAGGTAGAAAAAAAGGCTGAAAAAGAACAAAACAAACAATCTATTAAATCCTCTCAACTCTTCCACACGGGTTAAGCACTACTACGAGTCATTTTAATAGAAGTCTGCATTTCATTACTCTTTTTGGGTGTGCATGTACTTCTACACTGGCAACTTGAGAAAAATTTCTTGAGTACACTTAGAACAAACTAAGGTTCACTGAGGAGGTCAAAAGAATCACTGAGGACAGCTTCAACACTGTCTTTTTTTCTCTGTGTCTGAGGTATGGATGAAAGCCTCCAGCAGTTTTTTACCTACTCATAAAGGTACCTCAGGCTTCATTTTGTATTTTGTGTTTTTCTTTTGGTACGCTTCAAATATTACTTTCGTACTGATGAGCCTACATCAGTGTGTTTGTCCCTAAACATTCTCATCAGTTTGTTACAGTAGCCTATACAAGACTGCATGTCCTTTCATATAAATAGCTTTTGCAGTGGTGGCTACTGTGACCTTCCTTTGTGGTGCAGGAACCTTGGAACTGAGCAATAACTTCTGCCCAACAAAGGAATTATGCTATTTTTTTTTCTGTCTTTTCAGCAAATATAAATGTGTTTCTAGTTTCTGATGATGCAGCTGCTAGAAATGAAACAAAGAACTTTCCAGTCCGTGATATGAAACAAATTACATCCTGTATCTACTTGTTGGGTGTATTTCAAATTGAATATACAGCTGGAACTTCAACCACGCTCCTTCTTCATCTTCATATCAGTATGTGTATTTCTTACCTGCTTACTGCAGGCCTAATCTCTGATTGTTCTCTCTAGTCTGGAGCAAGCCCTTCTCACAAGCCAAGGTCTCATGCAAAAGTCATCTTGGCAGCTACAGATGCTTTCAGCACAGAGCACCCCTAGAAAAAGAGATGACTGAAGATAAGGGGGAGTAGTTGAAGAAAACACAAAAAAGTAATTATGTTATCTGTCAGATACAATCTAGTGCTGTGGACTGAATTGCTTGAAGCAGGACAGCTTTTCCCAAGAACTGTGTCAAAAACGCTGCTCTCACTGCTCCTCCAGATCTATATTTAGTGGTCCTTTTGCATTGCTAAGGTCTCAGTAAGTACTGAGACACTCTCTCTGCACAGGCAGTGGACTTCAGAAGGACAGGTGGGATTTTTCTCACCTCTTACACTCACTTTGCGATTCTTGCCTGCAAAATTCATGTGTCTTTGAAAGTGCGGAAATAACCAGGATGAAACTGCAACTGTGCTGAAGCAGAAGGCAGTTCTTTGTGAACTCAGAACTTCAAGCAATGCATCAAACAGTTGAAGATGACTTTTCATAGAATCATAGACTGGCTTGAAAAGGATCACAATCCAGTTCCAACCCCCTGCTGTGTGCAGGTCGCCAACCAGCAGCCCAGGCTGCCCAGAGCCACATCCAGCCTGGCCTTGAATGCCTGCAGGGGCGGGGCATCCACAGCCTCCTTGGGCAACCTTTGCCAGTGCCTCACCACCTTCTGTGTGAAAAACTTCCTCCTAATATCTAAACCAAACCTCTTTTGTCTCAGTTTAAAACCATTCCCCCTTTTCTAACGATAAAATTTAATAAAACACTTTGATATGTGCTTTTAAGCAAGAAAACGGGCCAGAGGCTAGGAGAGAAGCGTACACAGAACGACAGTTTCCACAGATACCACGCACGAGAGCAAACAAGAGGTGAAGCCGCCCCGTCCCCGCCCAGCTCCCGCCTTCCTGCCAGGCAGACTCCCAGGCACAGCGCCCTCCTCCTGTCAATCAACGCGGAGCCCCGCCCCCCTTCCGCCCACTGGCTCCTCCCCTCCCTCGGGCGGTTTGGAGGTGCGGCCGCGGTGTGCGCGCTGTCGCTGCGTGGTGACGCAGCAGGAGGAGCTGAGGCGGCATTGCCCGCCCTTCCTCCTCCTCCTCCTCCTCCGCCTCCCATCGCACGCTGACAGAGCGGCGGAGTTCGTCGTCGCTGGAGTCTCTCGATCGCCGGCCGGGCTCGGGGGGAGCAGCGGGCGCTGCCACCGGCCATGGTGGTCCGCCCGCCGCCGGGAGGACAGCAGCAGGCGCGGCGGCGGCGGCCGCCATTGCGAGCGGGGGCCGCGGGACTATGAAGGATGGAGGCGGACGAGGTGTCGATCCGCGAGCAGAACTTCCACAGCCAAGTGCGGGAGTACACGGTACGCGCCGTCACCCTCGGCCCTTCCCCCTCCCGACCCTTCCCGAGAGCCGCTTTCCTCGCAGCCGTGCTGCCCTCCGACTCGGCCTCCTCCGTGCCCGGCCCTGCGCCGGGCTCCCCGCGGCATCGCGTTCTCTGTGTGCCTCCGGCAAGGTGGGGCAGCGCGATGTGAGCGTGGATGTGGCTGTGTGCGTACAGCTGTGTGTAGAGGTGTGCTTCTGAGCAGCCCGTGCGTGCTGTGCTGCGCAGCTTAGCCTTTAAGCGCAGCCTTGTGTCCGTGAGGATACGTGTGGGTTCCGATGGCGCTGCTTGTGCTGCTCGCACCCTCCTCCGGTTGCAGGAACGCGCATCCTTCGCAAGCGCTGTATAACCTTCACAGTTGCTCACATCTCTCAGGTCCGTCTCTGGGTGAAGGAATACAGCCTATAGAGCAGCACCTGTGCTGTCCCATCTTCCTTAGCCCTGCGCCTTACATGCAGATGGAGAGAGCTGTTGTGGTTTCCTCCCAGATTGCCTCATCATTATTTGCAGGGCAATTCAAAGCCCTTAGGGGTGTTCTGGTGGGGCTTATCTCTTGCTGCACATAGGAGGCAGTGTTCTGGTTTGCCACATACCATCCTAACTCTTCTGGGTTAACTGCATTCTTTTTGCAGATACTGTTGTGTGAGTATTAGGAGATTTCTTGAATAAAAATATAATATCATAATTTAGCTTTGAGTGTTTTTCAGCTGTATGAGGAAGCAGTCTTAAATGTCACTGTCAATTTTGCTATAGGCCTACGTAACTCAGTTATTTAATAAGAGACTTGACTGGATCCCTAGTATAATAATCTCTGTATCTTTAAAATCCATGTGTTAACACTAACTTTCTCGTGCTATGGTATTACACTTTCAGAATACCGTTTTCTTAAGAGTGCAACTCAAGTTGGTATGAGGAGAGCTGTTGTTTTGGAGTGTTTTCTGGCTCTTCCTGTTTGTGTGAATGGATGTTAGGTATGTCAGGAGAGCCGTGACCTGTGGAGGAGCACTGAGAGACTAATACTTCTTTGTAAGGAAGTATTTATGTCCTCTGTAATGAAAGCAGAAGTGTATGCACAAATCTTGCAGCTCTTTTGGGTGCTAGAATAGTTTCCCAGTGTACGTTTTACCATTTTTTTTTTTTGTGTGTGCTGAATCTCATGCTTTTATCCCCAAAGTCTTGTTCTGACACCTTGTGTGCTATGTACTGTTTATGTACGTAGGGAACCAATTAATTCTTTTCATTAATTTATTGAAGTGTATTGAATTCTTGAAGAACTAACTAGTGCATACTGCAGCTACTTCTCTGAAGCTTTGCAGCTCTTCTAAGAGCAACTAGTAATTCTTCCTATTGGTGTAGTCACGTAAGTATTCACAAGGGAAAGCAAGAATGCACAATTCAGAAGTGCAGTGCTGCTTCTTGTGAAGAAAAAATATTCGGCAAAAACTTCTTGTCCAGCTACAGTTTGATCTTTGGTTTGGTGAAAAGCCTTCTACATTATTGCTTAATCAGTGAGGACAGTAAGTTTTCACTTTTAAAACACACACAGTGTTGTGTTCTTGCCCTTAATTTCTCTATGAAGGCTGCAGTTGTGTGCACCTTTCTTGTAGCACTTGCACAGCTGCAGAAGTGTATTGCAAGAGTGCATGTTGTCCGGCCTCCTGTTGCTCTTGTTAGCTTACAGATAATGAAATACACAGAGCATGTTGTTTACATGTACCATTATGCTTACAGCCCCTGCAATTAGTTCTGCTTTGGCTGGTCTTGAAGCTGCATGGTGAAAATCATGTTGTCAAACATGCAGATGAACATTTGTGCTGTGGATACAGGTGTGGGCCTTCACTGAAGGAGGGAACGTGTTCTGCTGTCTGATGTGCATGAGGCTTTTGTTCCAGCTGCAGGTGGAGTGGGATCACTGGGGTGGTAAATGAAAGAATTGAAGTTTTTGCAGTATCAGAGTGGAGGAAACCTGTATGTTGACAGAAACAGCTCGAGCTTGTGGAATCTGTTGATATCTTCCTGACTTTGCAGACCTTGTTCTGTGGCATGACCTTTACTGGAAGCCAAAATGATGCATTCAGGAGAGGAAGGAAATCAGGGCAAGTTTGACGTAGTTGAAAAGAAAACTCCTTTCTCTTCTGTTTTGTGAATTGTATTCATCCTCTTTGAATGGTTTTGGAGTTTCTAGATCGTGCTTCCCGAAGGACTCCTAAAGGCATGCAAACCTTTACTTCAGTGAAATGCTTCACTTCTCTTTCATCTGTGTTCAGAGCAAGCAAGCTTCTGAGTTTCCATAAAGTTTTGCTATGTAATGTAAAACAAAGGCTTGTTGCCCTTCAGCTGGCAGTGTTTGACTTTTTTTTCCCTGTGAGTGCCACCTTATCCATTGAAGGAGAAATGTATTTGATGTATGTTTATGGATCAAGCAAGTATAATTAAAGACTTTTCGAAAAATAAATCTTTAATCTGCTTTTGAGGTGACCTTCCCTGTGGTTTAACGTGTGATTAAACTTAGGTGCATCCACCTCTGAGCCACTTGTTTGGTGTGTTGGGATGGTTTCTGGTTTTTCAGGAGTACCTGTCTGCACGAGAAGAGCCTGCCTTGTTCTGTTGCTTCATGAGGATGATCCCTTCCTTACAAGAGGTCAGGTCTCTCACGTTTCAAGAATCGTGCTGAATCTGGGTTAATCTGCTGCTTGTAGGGCCTGTTGTTTGGCATGCTTAATGGAACAAACAACTGTCAGTCTTGTAGTTAGAATTCTATAAGGTAAATGTGGAGATTGATGACCCAGCATTAGAAACATGAGACGTGACAGAACAATGGGTTTGCTCTAAGTCGGGTAAAGCCCTGCCCTCACGGAGCTGAACTCGTGCTCTGTTCTGGTTGCATCGTTCTGCAAATCAGCAGAGCATGGCAGCATGCCTTCTCTATTTGATCAGCATGCATGTGCAAGTATTGTAATACATAAATGCCAGGTAATGTGTGCTAGTCTACTGCTGTCTTTGTTGTACACTTAGTGTACCTTTCTTGATCCTTTGACTCATTTCTTGTTTGCTGAGTTCTTGCACATCCATGGAAGCTATGTAAGCTTATGGGGCGTTGATTTTTCCTTGTGTCCTATTTTTACATCTGTTTATACAACGTAATTAAAATGTCCTGATTGCTGCTATAACTTTTCACAGCCAAACTTGAAGTAGTTAAGTGGGGGGGTTCAGTTTCTTTGTTCCTCTGGCTTTGAAAAATATTTGTTCCCATTTTGAGTTTTCTATTCTGCAATATTAGTTGGCTTTTTTTTTTTTAAAGTTTGCTAATTCTTGATAGCATTTTTCTGCTTAGAAAATTTTCAGTTTATAAAACCACACACATGTACTTGGTTATGAGGCTTCCTTGACAAAATCAGTGGTGTGTCTGTGCTTATGTATAGAGTGAGGGGAAAATGTGGAGGAAAATAACTAGGTGACTGTGGAGTCATTAGTTAAAAAGCAAATTTCCAGATTTGGAAATGATTAATTACACTAAATATGACATGGGGGGGAAGTCAGTCCTGGCAGAAGAAGTTTGAACACAAAAATGCTATTTTAATTCCTTCATGCAAGTATAAGCAAATATTGAAACAGCTTTGTTCTCTTGCTTTCTATTGACACTTTCTGTCCTCTTGTTGTGTTTCAGGGTAAAGAGGTGTTCAGGATTTTTCACCAGGATCTGGTGTGTGGCTGCTGCTGGTGTTTGTCCCATATGTGGCTGTCGGGAGAGCGATTCCCCAGAGTGCTGTGTGCCTGCTGGCAGCCTGCTCTTGTTTGTGACCAGTTCTGCTTCCTTCAGCTTCTGCTCTGGACAATAGCTGTGGTCCTTGCAGAGCGGTGTTTATGCCAGAAGTGATGATATTCTGGTTGTGGGCCAAGAGGAATATGCTGACTAGCAGCACTGGTAATTTTTAAAAACAGCTTATTAAAAACAACTGATGTTTTTGTTTTTTGTAAAATGTCTTCTGGTTTGTTATACAGCCATATAGGGGACAAATGCCAGCAGTAACTGCGTTGCACTAATTCATGTAGAAGAAGAACCTCAAAGTTTATGCAAGTTTATTTTATTCACTAATGTTTCTTCTCTTCTTTTATCCTTGCGGTGAGTATTTGTGGAGTACATTATAAGTTGAACTGCTGCTTGCATCTCAAAGATGATTTTGCCTAGGTTTCTCAGTATCGCCCTTTTTCCAAAACATTCTTTGGGGGGGGCGGTGGGGGGTGGGAAGAGAGAAAGGAGTACTTGTGGCAGTGGCATGAGAAACAAGACAGAAGATTGCACATAATAACATAATTATATATATATAAAATGCTCACAGCATCGTATTATCTTAAAAGTACACTTTTACTGGTAAACATGTGTGCTGTTTTGTACTTGTGAAGCAGTGAGTCATCCTCTGGCTGCTGATACTGAAGATCAGTGGTGGTGGATCCATTTGGAATCAATAGGTATCTCTAAACTTGGCTTGGATGAGCAGATAGAGATGTGCTTATTCTCAAAACAAGCAACTTCTGGACAGTTCTGCTTTTTCTGCTTATACAAAAGGAGCAAGGAAGACGGAAGTGTTAGATGTTATTGCAGTTCAAAAGAATTCCTTTAGAAAGCTGATATGTTTGTTTGTTGTAGTTGACCAAAAGGGAGGCCAGTTTCGTGGAAGGTGCAGAAGTCTCTTTAAGACTTTAGATCAACTTGAATTCAATATTAAAAAAAAAAAATCTGTATGGGAAACATAGATTTGATACTGTCAAGGTGCAGGTAGGATTTGAGACGAAGTTAAGAAACAATGGAAGAACTGACAGCAAACAAGCTGTGTTACTGATTATGACCACAGGTAAGTGTACCCAAAGTTGGGTTTTGTTTGGATAGCTGGTTGTGTTACACGTGGATTGAATGAGATGGCAGGATGCATCTGAAAGAAAGGTGCGAATATTTCAGGCTTTGCTGTGATGTAGGGAGGA